ACACACACACGCACACACACGCAGCGCCCTCTCTACCACATAGCCCGATAACGCGCACAGCGATATGAACGACAAGTTTTGGGGGTCTCGAAACGGTCTCAAAGGGATCAAAATGTCAGACAACACCGGGGTCGGGGTCTCCTCTTTCCGCTGCTCGTCCTGCGCGTCGCTCACAGAGCTAAATATAAAAATCCCATTGAGTGAAAGGCGCTCATTTAACGCGCTCGCCGTCGCTCCGGCAGCATGCTCCTTATTGTTGACGCGCAAAACAACCTCGCGCCTTCAAACACAACAGCGCGAGAGGCGACCAGCCATTAAAACAAGTGCAACAGCTTCGCGGAGGCTCGGGGCTGGAGGGGCTTTCTGAAGTCATCTCCCCGTCCCGGTGAAGTGCGAAAAGTGCAGCTGTTGTTATTGTTGCCTTTGTAGTGAGAGCGGAGGAACAGAGTTTGAGAGCTCCGGAGAGGACCACAGTGCCACTGACCGGCCGAAACACAGGGACAATACTGCCACTGCTTTAAAATGTCATCTCTGGTTAAATAGTTGGATTGATATGAACTCCCTTTGCTGGTCTGCAGAAATGTTTATTTGACTTTTTCTGAACCTCAAAATACAACACTTCAGGCAGAACGGGAATGATGTAATACTAAAAGCGCTGAACATGTCTGAGTATAGTCATCTGATCTCATGGTCATTATTAAAAGAAGTAAATAAATAAAAATAAATAAATAAACATGCTAATGGTACACTTGTTTCCACCTCTGTTTACTTAATTCAATATGAAGTGTGATTAATTCCACAAAGGGAGATCACAGTAACAACAGTACAACAAAACCAGTGAGAGCCGAATGTGTCATTTATTATCTCCAGATTACTGCACAGTATCCACATCAGTTCACTTTGTTACTGTCACCTACAGCACTGGTTCCCAGCCTCTGTCTATCACTGTATAATCTGACTAAGTGACATATTTTCTGTATATTTCATGTTATATTGTATGTATAACAAGAACAGTAGAGAACAGCTGATGAACTGTACAATGAACCCAACCAGTGAACGCAGTAACTGCAGGACATTCGGATGAATTCTGAGCAGATTATTTAATGTGAATATTGATCACAGATGAGTTTTACTGATAATATTACTAACTTTTTATACAATTCTCTGTATTATTTTTTTTTTATATATATTTAACAGTCATACATACTTAATGGGCTACTTCTTGGACAAATTCAGAGTTTTCTTGACTCCTGTCCATTGTTCTATGCTCTTTAGTTGTTTTAACTTTTCTAATGCAGGATGAGGCTGTTTATGAGAGACTGAAGGCTGTCTGAATATATCTTGTGCTCAGGTCTTCAAAGTTTACTAATAAATAATAATCTATACTTTAAAAATAACAATTTCATTTAGTTTGCTCAAGAAAAAAGTATGAAATATTAAGGTTAACATAGTCCTTAAAACCCCTGAAAATCAAGAAGGCCTAGCATCCCCCCATGAAGCTTTGGCGACCCTTAGTGGGGGTCCCAATCCCTTGGTAGGGAACCACTGACCTACAGTCAGTGTTCAACCACATGGCAGTGTGTTACTGTTTCAGGTGGCAAATGTGATGTTTGATTCTCTAGCTATGTTCACACTGCAGACAAAAGTGACCCAAATCAGATCTTTGTGTGCTCATTTGTGACCCACATTTAATGACAGTGTAAAGAGCACAAATAACATTGAATCTGATCTTTTTAGTTTTTATTTCATATGTGGCCCTAAATCAGATACAGGTCTGATTTGTTTTTGCAATGCGGCCTCAGTCACATTTCAGAATTCATGTGACTTTTACATCACTCTGGATCTACATTTGTCACAGTTCTGTGCTGGCAGGAGTCACTCAGCTGCAATGGAGACTGTCAGTGGAGGGACAGTGATAAGTATTTGGGGTGACAGTTATGTACAAGTAAAACTTGGTAACTGGTCTGTGTTTGCTCTGACTCAGCATCACACACACCTCCATACGAAAGAGGCAGCGTTAGCTTCACAAACAGCCTTAATTCAAAATGTGTCTCTCTTTCTCCTTGTCTCCGTCCTTGTTATCATCTGCTCACTGGCTGGCTTCCACTGCACATCAACCTATAAATGAAACAGTACACATATTCTGTGGCTTCCATTTCCAATATTAGAATCTGGAATCTGATACGGGCCACATTTTAAAAATAATGTGAACAGCCAAACAAAAAAAGTCAGATATGTGCAATAAATCAGATTGAGCACTTGCAGTGTGAATGTAGCCTAAATGTAATTGTTCAGGAACACACACCCCTGAGGACATCCTTCACATTAGACCATCACTTCAGTCTGAACCATCGGGACTTCCACATCCTCTTTTTGAGCTGGAGCATCCTTATCTTCTCTGTCTTGAACCTCGGCTGACTCCATCTCAGAGCCGGCTGTCAGCGCTGACACCCTCTGGGCGAGCCGCTCAAGGACCAAATCAGCAGTGCTGGTAAGAGTGTGCTGAAAAGACAGGAAGCAAAACAACACAACATCAGATGAGATGTACAGATTTGAGGAAGAGCGTTGAATTCCTTTGCACAGAGGAAAATATCAGCTCTGAGCTTTGCTTCCGAAATGCTACAGCAGTTGTCCTGTTGAGGTCTGTGCTGAGCTGATACTGGATGTGTGAGGGTGACAAATGTATCGTTCAATAGCACATCACGGTAAAACGTTTTCTTTGGGGTTTGATAACGTTTCTGGAAAATTATGCTACAAGAGCCATCACATGGTAGCTGAAATTTTAAAGGAGAAAAGCAAACGAAAATAATTTTATTGAAGTCAATTATGTCTTTATTAGATAGCTGTGCTGTTAGTTCTCAAGCTGATATGGTTCTTATTCGAAAATGGACAGTTTCTGACAATTACAGTCCACTGCAGATGAAGGGAACAGAGGAGACAAAGCAGGCAAAAAGGGCCCTTAAAATCAGGTCTTTCAGTTCTGCTGCAATTGCTTCTGATGGCCAGTAGAGGTCAGCAATGACTTGATGCTTGTTTCAATTCACCTCTCCATTAGAAATAAGATCTTTTCTCAGTTCAAGAGCATGCTTTTGTGTTGACATAGTAAGCAGGTGGAGCATTCATCATGCTGATATGCAGAACAACATTCATTTTTTTTATATTTCATTTATATATTTGATCATAAAGGAAGAACATCATTCAAAAAGGCACCTAGTTTACAATTAACTTCTGGCTTATCTGACTGTGCTGTGCTGCAGCAGAGAGGCACTGACCCTGGCAGGAAGTGACCTTCGACCAGCGTAAGACAGCTTTCTGCTACGTACCTGTAAGATATGCAGTCCCTTTAGTGTGAGGACAGCCAGCTCTCTCAAACCGTCCCCAGTCAAGTCTAGGTAGATGATGGACAGCAAAGGGCTCTTGAAGCTCCGCCTCCACTGCAGCTGAAACTGTCCGTCTCGTCCGCTACCTGCCGGCTGGAACTTGTAACAGAGAAGTTCCTGCTCGGCAGAAAGGAAGATAATATTGCCATCATCAGGATGTGACCACATCAGTCTGTAATTCTAATCAGATGCCTGAAAAGTGATGTCGAGGGTGGAGGTCATTTATTTGTCATTATACAACACAAGGTTGCACAACAAAATGGAAGATAACATATGAAATAAATAAAAAATAAAATAAAAATAAATATACAGTTATTTATATACATACACGTATACACCTATGAAGTAGTTCTGTAGTGCATTTGTGTAGGATTTCATGTCTTATTATGTCAGGTTCCATCACATTCACTTGCTCTGGACATGCTGTATATCATTTCACATGAAGAAGTCTTCAGATATTGTATAATTTTTCACATTTTCTAAGCGCTTTCTTGACAATACGGGACAGCACTTGCTCACAAACGATGGTCAGTCATGGCTGGTTAGTGTTTAAGACACACTCCGTGTTAACTTGTTTTTGTTTTGTGCGCTCAGCTCTATATAACTATAAATATGATTTGATGGTTTTCCTCTAACCGTAACATTAATTTGGCCACAGCACAAGCTATAATACAATAAAAAAAAAAATCCAGGACAGCATAAAATATTCCTGGATATTTGGTAATTTTAATTCATTTCCAGATGTTTCCATGACTGGAAAACTAGTCTCTAAATTTTCAAGTTTTCCAGGTTTTCCAGGATGCGTGGGAACCCTGTTTTTTTTATTGTCAACAAACCCCCTTAAAACACCAAAACAAACAATGAATTCAAACCTTGATGTATGTTATTCCTCTGTGCCATAGAGCTCCATTGTTGTCCAAAAACACATCAATAAGCCAAACTATTGCACTGGGCGACATGACTCCCACATACTGCTGCTGCACATACTCACTAGAGCACCAAATGTGGATTAATCACCGCTGAAAACAGTCCACAACAAATGCACTATGTCCTCCTGTTTGAGCAATGTTTGTTCAAAACTACAGTTCCCAGCTGTTTTAGAACAATAATAAATGACTGAGCTCATAGGCTCAAGACTTATGTCTACAGTAGGGACCAATGGCCTTGGAGCTGAGACCCACAAACAGGCTGAGGAAGTCACAAAGTACTTAGAGATGGACAATACTACTAAAATATAAAATATAATATAAAACATAAAATGTAGTTTATCACCAGCTTTATTCTTTAAAGTACTATTAATAAAGTCCATTAGTAAAGAGGAGCTCTGACCTGCCCGTATGTTCCCAACAGCACCTCCTTCTGCCCGTCAAAATCCAGGTCAATCACCAGAGCACAAAGCACTGCGTCCCATTGGTCACTCTCTGAGAGGCACACCGGGTGGGACAAGCCTCGCTCCTGGACATCTCTGATAAAACATACACAACAAATACACTGTCCTGAACTGCCCAGAGCCATTTTCCCAACCACAGAGATGAAGTCTGAGTGAAAATTCTACACTGACATCTTTACAAAGTTATCTGACCTGTAGACAACTGCCATCTCTATAGTGCTGGTTACCAGAAGGTTGTAGCCTTCCGTTTCCACACCTGAAAAAGACAAAGACAATCCCCAGTGACGGCCAGGCATAAGTCACACTGCAGATACAAAAAGAAAAAAAATGAAGAAGAGAAAGACAGTGACACAAGTCTTAAGATGTGAGACTAAAAAAGTCCAGTAACATACTTTTCCCTCCGCTGGGCTGGTTGGGCTCAGCTGGGCAGCTCAGAGGGAACAGCAGCACTGTAGAGATTGGACTGTCAAACTGGAACCGCCAGCTCTGCAAAACCTCTGATAAAAAAAACACAAAAACACACAACATCCTTCAAACACACTGTGGAATAGTCCTATAGAGTAGTGATTCCCAACCTTTTTCCTTAAGGGACCCTTGAGCAATTCCATTTTATGCTACTTTATACTTCAACTCCACTACATTTTTTTTGACAGCTAGCTATTTTTCAGATTTGGATGAAATAGAAAATATAATTCAACTAATAAATGATGATACATTACTATAGGTTAAGCTACCCAGCAGTATGTAAGGAATATGAGTCCCACTTTTACCAGCTGCAACATTAAAAGGATGAACACATCACTATAATTCAGCAATATAATATACATTATTCTGAAATGGGTGCATATTGAGTACTTTTACTTTTGGTACTTAAATAATATTTTCATGCTACTACTTTTATACTTTCAGTTTCAGTTTTCAGAGTTTGAATGCAGGATTTTACTTACTTAATAAGTCATACACACTAACCCAAACCCTAATGTTCGTTTACTGTAATTAAGAATTTGTAACGTCTCTGCACACCCACACACACACACACACACACAGCTGATTGTAATTATTCTGTGTACTGTGCACTATATTTACTGTCCATCACTGCTTGAATTCGCAGTGTTCAAACTCTTGAGTTTGTGGTTACGACATGAGAAGTTGTATACAAATACTTGTACACACAGATTTTTTTTATCACAATGTTGTGGATACCCTGCCCTGTGTTACTAGGGCATGTCTTTGAAGGTAGTGTTTCCTAAACTTTTTTTCTGGGGACCCACTATTAAAGGTCCAGTGTGTAACATTTAGCAGGAAACATTGGCAGAAATTGAATATACTATTCTTTTTAAATGAAACAAAATTCATTAATTGAGGTTAACAGGTTCTCTTTGTTTTCTCAGTAAGACAGAATGTGCTCTCATTTTATGAGACAATATATGCATTTAGGAAAAGTTAAGGCTCTTGTTTTTTACCTTGTCAGTGAAACAATTTGCACATTTAAAAAAATAAATTAGATAAAATAAATGCATTTCGATTAAGAGTCTTTCGTTTTTTCCTCACAGTAGCGGTAATTTGGAGAACCTTTTTACAGAATGTACGCACATGTTATAAATGAAACAAATGAGTGTGCATTTAGCAGAAGTATCTTGTTTTTCCATCATCAGCCAAACACATTTACACATTTATTTACAACCCAGTCTCTTGGAATGAATGTTCTAAGGTGCCGGTGAGATATGAAATACAATCCAGGAAATCCAGCTGGAGTAAGAGAAATCTTTAAAAGCTTATCAGACACCAAAACACTGTAATTCTCATAGACAGAAGTATCAGAAATACAGCTTTAGCGTTAAAGTTAATCCACCAGCTATGTGCGCTTGCATGTGTGTGATCAAGTCTCTGAAAAAGTTAAGCCTAGTTCAACATTTTCGCTAGCGTTGTTGGGGTTTTACCATGACAAGTCAAAATGTGTGCTGTGACAAAGGCCTATAGTGTATGAGAGACAGAGGGAGTGATTTCTCACACAGTGTCCGCGGAATGGAAGGAGCAGGAAAAGCTGTCAGAAATTCCTGATTTCTCCAAGTTGGAATTACAACTAGGAGGCAGGACATTCTCTTGTCTCTCAGGATTGTATTAGTGTGTACAAGGAGTGCTTGAATGACGCCGCAATGACAATCCTGTTATTTATTTATATTCTGCACCTGTAAGGGCGGGACAAATTAAAACCTTTATCTCATTTCAGTCAGACAACTCACGTTTGAAATGTTTATTACAGCAGTATAGCACATTTAGAATTAGGCATCTAGGCTACGACCTCATCATTCCCCGCAGATATGTTTGCATACAGATATTAAGGAGTGATGCGCAAATACCTTAAACCCTAGTCAGAGCCTACAGGTGGATGAAAACAGGTGAAAACATCATGAAACAGACTTTCCTCTTTATTCTGTGTTTGGTCTCCCTCACCTGGTCCTGTCTGGTCGACCAGAGACAGTCCAACGCAGCCGTTCTGACAGCCAAAAGCTGAGAGTCGCCGGCCACCAGATATACTCAACACATCCAACCACAGCACACTGCATGGAGGCCGGGGGAACACAGAGGGTTAAAGGTTATACATACAGTTAGTTAGTCCTTACTGACAGTAGTGACACGCCACTTTTTGCCTCTGCAATATCGATGATTTCCAAAGTCTACTGTCTTCATTATGTGTCTTACTTCTCTTTTATTTCTCTTTTATAGTGCTGAGTCTGTTGGGCGGTAGGGCCCAATTGTTTTAGTCTGAGATGCTGGTGCTCTAGTGCAACATCTAGTGGCAGTGAATGCCATATATATATCATTCAAATCTAGAATTCTTGTATATATCAGCCCCACAGGCTGAGCATGAACTGAACTGTTTTTTTGAGTCAATATTTTAGAATAAATAAAATTTGAACATGCAGGAAAATCCTGAGACTGATTAACAGAAATGAAGAGACTTACAAGTTGCTGCTGGTCTCAATCAACCAATTAATCACCACACACAAACAACAGATACAGAGCAAACAGAGCAAAGGGAATTAGACTAACTTGCTTGGCAGCTGTTGTAGTTCAGGGAAGAGTCTCTCCACTGGCTGCTCCTCAAACTGGTGGAGGGAGGCATTCTGTTGGAAACAGGAGAGTCAGGCTGAATGGTGCTCTGGTCAATCAACTCCTACATAGGTGCAAAACTCATGACCACCTTGTTTTGTCTTGAGAGAAGACAATAGTCATGTAATGATCTTTTGGTATATTCAATTGTAAAAATACCATAGGAAATATTTTAAGATATAAGGACATTATATACACAAATCATAAATATAGAGATAAGGAAGAAAGAAAGAAATCTACATTCTATATCTCTGATTAGAATCACACACACACACACAGGTTCTAGTAAAAACTCAATCATCTCTGCTGCAGAGTAGAATATACTTCACCTCGCTTTACACTCAATGAAGTACACAAAATTTTGTGAGTGATTCATATCAAAATGTACGATGACTCTTAGATGTTGCAAACACACACATATATACACCAACATTAATTACATAGTCTCTCCCTCTCTCCATAAATACACACTCTTGCAGCTATTGGCCCTCTTGTTCTCACAATGTTCGCAGAGGCCCTTTACAACATGAATCCTATTGTGACTGTGCAGCCATATATCAACCTTAGCCTCATAGCCTGGCTGTGTCTTACCCCCAAGCAAACCCTGTGTTCTCCTAGTTTGCAGGCCTTAGTAGCACTGATAACACTCTGGGTCTACTGGCCCCTATTTATCACCTCCAAGTACCAGCTCACTGGACGCTTTACTCCATAGCAACACAACAGGACTGCCGAGGAAGACAAGGTATTGGGGATAGACGGATATAATTTCAAGTTAGCCTTGAAGTAATGGTAGCATTGATGAGAAAATCATCATGGTGAGCTGTGTTAATTCTTTAGCAAATAATAACCACCTGACATCCTGAAGAACTGTTAACTAGCACATTTATTACTCTCTACACATTGGTAAAATAAAATACATAAATACAAATACAGTACGAGTTTACGATAACCAGGTTAATGGAATGAATGAGAACATCAATTCTAGTCTCAACCCAGTTTCTCAACCTAATTTCTTAATTTCAATGTTTGTGGGGACAGTAACATGCAATAGGACAATAATTAATGTATGACTTTGGTGTTTATGTTTCTGCCTGTCTACCCACAAAAGCTGGTGTAACGTTTTCAATACCTGTACTAGACAACATACTGCAGACTGTGGACCACCCAATTGAATACTTCTCTGATAGAGAGATAAATAGAGAAGGGAGACGCTGCGATGAAATCCTGTGCCAGCCACAGACATCCGGACATCCATCCAGCAAACATTCACACTCTGTATTAGACCACAAGCCAGGGTCCTATCAAACTCTAGCAAGTCCACCATAAAACAGCAGAGCAGCGATGCAGCAGCCTCAGCCACACTACCAACTATACTCCTGGCCCTTGTACTAGTGGCTGTAGTGTTTATGAGGTGGGATATAACATAAACCTGGCTGCTGAGACGGTGGAATACACATTTTTTAAAAACCCATTGTGTCTTGTCATACAAGGTAATAGAGATGGGCTGTACAGTACTTTAAAAGTGCAGAAAGTACAACTTCTGAAACATTTTTTGGGATACTTTCAAATTGAATCACAGTTGCCAAAGTGGTTTAGTTGCAAAGGAAAAAGAACATGACAAAGATTCTAAGATACATACTGATCCCGGAGTTATACATATATTGCAACCCTGGTAAGATACCTGACCACATAGCCACCACTGTACCTAACTGGTTAGTTAAAAAAAAGAAAAAACCCTACCACAATGCCCCTAAACAATTACACCAAGCTTTTCAATACACTGCATAGGTTGTTTACTAGTCATCAAACAGTCCACGGCAAAGTGACACCCATTAATCTTGGTTATAAAAGCTGTGATTTAATAAACAGTGAATTCATGTCCATGTTTATGAAAACATGCTGCACTAATGTGTGTGATGGAATTCTAAGCAGTGGAAGCAGCAGGCATCACAAAAGACTGAAAACCTGTTTGTGTGGCATGACAGATCATATACAGTATTTCCACATGCCAGTTTATTACATGCTAAAAAAAAAAAAACTAAAGACAACAGTTAAGCTGTTACTAAGCTGCTTAAAGTGAGATCATTTAGACTTTAAAAAGGAACAAAAACATTTGCTTTGTGCCTGTGCGTGTCTGCATAGTGTTGGCGATGCTGGTGGTAGGTGGATTGAAGAGTCTACATATGGATCATCTGCCTTTACATATAAGCACTTGAGTATGTGCCATGTTTTAGCTCAGCGCATACTATATGCGTCCTGCTATCAGTGTGTGTGTTGGTTCATATCCAGACAGGTTGATTCATGGGCCTCATCTCTCCTATTGGGTTCCCTATCGATCAGGCCGGCTGTGGGCTGCTACTGACCGTGGCCTGGGAACCACAGAGCAGTTATCACTAACAGATACACAGTGGCTGTGGCTTGCTGGGATCCCTGGACCCCCCCGAGGCCTCACACGGGGGATGGGGTGAGGATGGGGTGAGAATGGGGTGTGCTGACGCATATTTCTGCCTTTAAACAGAGTGGAAAACTGTGTTGAAATTATGCATTGATTAATGTAGTGTGGAGTGATATCACAAGGGATCCGATATATTGATGTGAAGAGGGGAAATGAGGGTGTTGCAAAAATAAAATAATTGAGCAGAAAAATGTAATATAAAGTAAATAAAACACTAAAACCTCAATTTGACTTATGCCAATAAATAATCTATAATGTGTAGATGGAAAATGACTAAAGAGTTGCATATTTTCTTATAGTTTGCTTAGTTTGCAAGCAGAGGAAATTAATTGTTTGAACCATAGCCGATTGGTTGACATTAATCATACCAAAGTTTCACTCATTTGACAAATGTTCCAGTTTATGTTTAAAATGCTACATCTGGAGCAAATTATCTCCATCTCAGTGTTTATGTAATACTTTTTAATCCTTCTTCCATCAAGGCAACTTTTGTGTTTGTGTCCACAATCCAGCCTTTCTGCATGTCACTTTTTTTCCCCTTAAGTGAGAGAAATAATCTTTTCATTTCTCTATGTACAGTATAAAAAGGACAGAATCAGATTTTTACATTAGCACAAATCAGATCAGATCTCTACAGCGGCAATATATAATCTGATACCAGCTTTGGAGCTTAGTTTATACAAGGTAGAGAAACAGAAAAAGTGTGTTTGTGAAGCAGCTAAATATGCTAGAAGCTCAGTGTCTGTCATAATGATGTATGAACCGTCTGTGTCGCTGTGTTGGTCTTTAAAGTGATAATCTCAAATATTTCCCCTTAAATAAATGTCAGTCTATCTATTGCTGAATTAGGTAACACAATGGTGATTGAGCCTATGGCCCATTAATCAAAGTATTGCAATATTTATGTATTTGCAGTAATATGAACTGGTTGTCTGTCATTCCTGGGGAAAAATATGTATTAAGTCACTGCTACTGCAAACCAAACATTTCCAAGTGCTGCAGTTTAACATTAAAAACATTTACCTGGTGAAACACTTGCTGCCTTTTATCATGAAATTGTCACAGGTAAGTGAGATTAGCACAGACTGCTATTGTTAATCAAAAAGGCATATATAAAACAAGTCAACAGTCTTTTTTGTCTGGAGCAGCCACAGTGAGCTATTCAAACAAGACTACACCCCTCTAACTCCTTTCACTGTGCCCTGCTGTACGCAGACTTATGCCATGTGCCATAAAATCCAGTTTCTCACACAATGATAGAAAAAGGCCAATTGTTACTAGACTTGTAGTATTAAACCACACTTGCTGTTACCACCAGTAACCACAGATGTCAAAATAAAATAAACCAGGACAGAAATCTTAAGGATTATAATCTGAAGGAGGATTTTAAGGATGTGATATTTTGTTCTGTGGTTAACCTCGGTAACATTAGCAGACACCATGGAAACATTTTCCTTTTCGCCCTTCATCGGTCAGTGGTCTTCACCTCTTGCTTCATTATCCCTCACAAACATTTCTCATGATGTGCTAAGACTCAGAGCGGAGGCTGAGCTGTGTGCCAATGTCATGGTCAAACAATGTTTCTGACTCACACGGCTGCAATATCAACAGCACCAAGACCCGACAGGAGAAATTACTTCAATGAGAGACCGTCTTGGGAACAGTACGTGCACTTTTTTTT